ATAAAATGATTTTTTTTTTTTTTTTTGATTTAGAAAATTTTTTATTTATTTTTCAGAATATAAAGTTTAATATTCTAGTTGTTTAATTAAAAAAGATACTGACTTGGATTCTCTTCAAATGTTTTGCTCTTTCATACATATCTTTATAACTAAAAGAACCAAACTATGTAAATAATAATAGAAAAAAAAACACATTTCATTCAAAAATCAATGTTATTCTATATTATTAGCAGGTCTGAAAATGGATTTATGTTTTTAAAAACAATTCTTTAAAGTGTTGTCTTGTTTAAACAAAACTTACCTAGATTTTATGAATTTAATGCAGTACAAGACTGGCAACAAGGCCTCATCATTTTACACTTTAAATGGCAAGATGTAACCGTAAGTTCTATTTTAACAGTTTCTTCTATCGCACTTCTCACTTAGGGAACTCTCTTCTGGCTTTTTGCTTTTGAGTAAACTTTAATCATCAAAAATTTAAATGCAATGTCAATGGTCATCTACTATCTTCTTAATTCTTGTTCTTTTATCGTTCTTTCTCCTTAATAGTGATTTTTTTCTCAGTACCTCCTTGTGTCTTAGTGGCTTTATTGACTTGCTTAGGGTGAAATGATTAAAAAAAAAATTCAATTTGCTCACTGTCAAGTGAAATTAATTCAGTCAAAATTTTCTTTGCTCAAAATTTTATGAAGACAAACCGAACTTATTTTATAATCATTTAATTTTTATCTATTAGGTTCTTACAGATATTCACTAGTTTTTATTTGTTTGTTTTTATAATTTTTTTTTCTGATGTTCCATGAATGATCTTGAAAAATAATCTTTCGCAGCATTTTTTGCTTCTTAATAATTCTGATCATCCTGTGAAACTATTATCTCACATTATTGAAATTTTACCTCAGACTAGACAGCTCTTTGAAATGGAATGGTAAGTAGACAAGAATGAGTATGTTTGACATATTCTTCTCTTCACTTCACTTTTAAATCAGTCACATAGTTGCTAAACCTGGCTCGAGACATTTGTGCTGTGTATGGAGATGAAATGCTTCAAAACAACCAATCAATGCTAAGCTGTATGTTGAACAAACGAACAAGCTCAAAGAGGCAATTCAGCTGAAAAGACCTGACCAGTAATAATGTGTGATTATTCAATATGACAATGCTTGTACCCATGTCACTAACATGACTAAATATGCAATTAAAGAACTCAGTTGGGAAGTTCTGTCACACTCATCATATTCTCCTGATTTAGCTCCTTCAGAATGCCACCTTTTTTGATTTCACAGGTATTTCATTCAGCAATGACGTGGCGCTTAAAACATGGCTCAATGAATTTTTTTAGTCAAAATAGTGATTTTTATAATCGAAGCAATGAAAACTTAATGGATTATTGGCAGGAAATTATAAACAATGTAAGAGAATACTTTGTTGAATGATTCATCAGAACAATAAGTAGTAAATAAATGATAAAAAAACAAACAAAATTATTTAATAAGCTAATATACCACTAACTGAATATATCAAAGTTGAAAAATACCTTGTTTTAATTTCTACAATAATGATCGATTCATTTTCTACAGCATACCAACCCTTTTCAGGTTATTTAAAGCCAGGAAATATTTTTAGGCTGTAAGAATATTTCTTTTGACAATAATGGTTTAGTGACACAAATCTTACTAATTAGCCAATAGCTGAGGGAGAAGAAATGGATTCATGCCTTTCCCAAGAGCATTTGTGTGTAAGTGAATATAATGAACCCAACAGGAATTGGAACTCATCTCTCTGATTAACAATTCTGAGACAGTATCCATTATACTACTTACAGATCCAAGTAGTCATCCATCTAGTTACTGACCAGACTCAACATTGCTTAACTTTGGTGATTGCACAGGAACCAATGTTTCAACATGATGTGGATCTAAGCCAATTTCTACAACAAGAACTTTTTAATCCAAACCTAACTTTTACATTTAAATTATCCCGCTTTAAGTTTAAAATGCAGTTTATCAAAAATAACTTTATGAGGTGTTATCAAAGTTCTTGGACAACCATCACCAGCCACGTTCCATTCCATCAGGTGAAATTGTCATATCCTGTCAGCACACCGACATTTTTTAAAACCAACTGGAAGAAAAAGCTTAACCAGCAATCATTGTTAAGTTAATCCAGGATATAAAAAGGCCTCAAAGGAAATAAAAAGACACCTTCCACAGCCCAGATGACTTGGATCAAAGTATATTATGTGTTCCAGCAGCTGACAGCCGGCACATGATCCAGAACATAAGCAGTAGTTCCAGCAGTTCATCTCGCCATCAGCCACCACTTCAGCCGGGTTCCAGGTCCAGCCATCCTTGCCAGCAGCAACGATATGCAATAAACTGTCCTTTTTGGGATGATGCACTTCAGCGACCACAAAACTGTCCCTTTTGGAACAACACTCTTCAGCGACCACAAAACTGTCCTTTTCAGGACAGCACTCTTCTCACTCTCTACATGAACA